CTATTTACTGACTTATTCTCTTATTGTGCAATAGTCCCTTAGTGTTAGGGCCGTATTCACTATTTACTTACTTATTCTCTTATTGTGCAATAGTCTCCTTCACAATTCCCTGCGCCATCTTGAAAGGTAGCCGTGCCTTTGCATGGAAGCGAGACGAACGGTGAGCTTGCAATGATAGAGACATGTGAATAATTGTTCAAGGTGCAAGCTCACCGTTCGTCTCGCTTCCATGCAAAGGCACGGCTACCTTTCAAGATGGCGCAGGGAACTGTGAAGGGGACTATTGTGTTGTCCTGCGCGTTTTCGCTCTTTAGTAATCCAATCCCAAAACAGTATTTCTATATTTAATTTCAGTCGTTTTTTTTTTTTTTTTTTTTTTTTTTTTTTTTTTTTTTTTTTTTTTTTTTGTCCATGAGAATCTCCATGGGTTCTCAAGTCGATTCCTAGGCCTGGTCTCGGCATTGCATATATTCTCTCTCCCTTGAATTCCACAAGAGTTGTTTTCCGAGTTCTCTAGTTTTTCTCCCTTTGCAAAACCTAACATGTGCTATTTCCATTTCGATTTGTTGTGAGTTAGCCATGCCCTGATTTTGATCAGCCAAAGATTGTTTCAGGCTTGATCTGCGAGTTAGTCGTGCCCTGACTTTGATCAGCCAAAGATAGTTTCAGGGTTCGACCAGTGAGCGAGCTGTGCCCTGACAGGTTAGATCAGCCCAGAGGTCGTTACATCATTCCAAAAGTTGTTTCAGGGTTTGATAAAATTTGAATATATCTTTATTCGAGTTTGATAGTGCCGATAAAGACCTCCTGTCGTATGGCGGTTTTGAATATATGAACCTGCCAAAAGCCGCTTTAGCTTCTCGAACCGACCACGCAGTGACCAATAGCAAAAGCCCTTCGAATATTATATCATTTGTTTTACGGAAAACCTGCTGCGGTAACACTTCAGTTTTTTAATAACGTTGAAAATTTGCCAAAATCGGAAGTTTTATAATATTGCAACCTTAGGGACTGAAAAAACTTAATAATCAATAAATGCAATGCACATACGCGAGAGGAGAGAGACCGTCGTCAGTGGATCAAAGGATATAATTATACATAGATCCCATTTTTCGTACAATACCGCTGTATTTTTTTGATTACAGACTCAGGTTTAGCCTCTTTTCAGTAAAGAAATATTCACAAACATGAACAATTGAGTAAAGTATAAAGAATGCACAACCTCTATAATGCAGGGCCGTAGTCACCGGTACGGTTGGTCTGTTTCAACCGGACCAGCTTTCGGGAAAAAAATATAAGACATTTTTTTGTAATGTAAGAAAAACCGAAAACCCTCGAAAACCGGACCAATCACATACATTTATGGCTACGGCCCTGTAATGCAAACACTTTGAATTCCATGCACAGACCTTCACTGGAACACATAAATATTCTACACAAACTAGAGACTAATCCTAATAATAAAGGAACTGGAGTATTCTGCTTGTGCGATCGCGAGTCTGTGAAAGACATTTCGCGAATTTTCTTGAGAGACACAAGAAAATGGGCCAAAGTCTTGGTAAAATATGAATGCATAAACGCAATTTCTATCTCCAACAACTGTTTAGTATTCTGGAAAGGTCTATTCCGAATTGTATGGTAAACGCTGGACCGGGGGTGGCTTGGAATTATCAAGGCAATATTCTAATTAAGCTGTATCACTGTTGAACGTATCGAAAATGACCGCTATGATTCAGAATATGACTGCAACATTTAATGTAGGCGTGTGATTTTCGTGGATGTGGTTACTTGTTTGTGGCCAGAACCTTCCGATGGAATGGTCAGCCATTTAAAACGCAAATTACTTTGATTCCCTTCCCTTTTTATAACTGTGTGCAGTATTTTCTTGGGCGCTGGCGCTGGCGCTGGCTTGATTGCGATGAGAGCAAATGAAGAAGGAAAAAGCATTTGGGACTCGGTAAGAAAGTGGCTACAAATCATAAAGCACCCAAAATAAGTTTACTTTAAGATATGTTAGTGGCGGTTTATGTGTTGGCCATCAGCATTTAAAGGCTTACAAGTAATTTGTCAGTTCTATTTTCATGTTAGAAAAATAACACAAATCGCATTCCACATATCGATACAAGCTGCTTGCGTACCTTGAGTCACACTAATGCTTGGAAGTTAGGTTTGTGTGCGATTCAAATTTTCATAATCGCAATAACTGAAAATAAGTTTCTAAAAACGGTGCTTTTTCATAAGTTAGGATAAATATCTGTTGCTTTTTGGCTTTAATTTTAATTTTATCAATAATTACCAATAATTTCATAACTCATGAGAACATGTTTTCTGATATTAACTGCGACATACGATAATCTAATTTACTCTAATTGCGCTATTCCTTCCGTTTTTTTAAGAAAAAATTATTAATTATTATTTTTTAATTATTGCCTAAGGGAATGAACGTCATATATTTACATCATTTTAATTCTTACAAATAAACATATTTAGTGATCCACGTGCTTGTACCATATATGAAGTACCATGTGAATAAGATCTTGCAATCAAGTCAATCAATTGTTTAGGATATCGAACGTAGCTTATTATATTTAATATATTTTACGACCATCGGTCTCATATTTAGTAATTAGTCCTCGAGCGCGAATGGTCTATTGACTCGATGACTAATTGCTAATTAGTCAAATCCAACCACTCGGTCAGATACATAAGTTTTGAATTAAGTTAAATTTAATGTTTTTGGCTTTCAAAGCCTGCACTTTTCGCTACTAGGATATAACTTGCTAGCCTAGTAATAGCTCATCCAATTAGAATGCAGCATTGATAGACCACTAAATGGGTTTGATGTATAATTTTCTAGTATCCAGTAGTGACTTAGCCTCCTTCGCAGCCGTTCTTAGGGTCGTCACGCAACGTTTCCCTGTGGGGAGGGAAACGTTGCGTGACGACCCTAAGAACGGCTGCGAAGGAGGCTAGTAGTGACTATACTTCATATGGTACAGTAGGCAGATTAAGATCCCCGTTTTTCCTTCCCGCGAACGGCAAACGTGACCACGTTTTCATCGTTTCCCTACATTTCATTTTACCTTTTGCAAACCTTCCCGATAAAGACAAGTATTCTTTTGTTTATCTACTACTTGGAGATTTTTGCAATTCCTTTTCACTAATTTTAAAGAATTGTTTTAAAATCAACTGACGTTTCACGTTTACCGTAAACGAGGATCTTAAACTCTCTAGCATCGCGTTATCATCTTCCAAATGCTCGGGAACTGATAGCTTTCCATAAATCGATAACCCTTGCCTCCTCTAGTCCAAATAAAACCCGTACCATTTGGCGGTCTTGTTTGATTAGGTTACTTCACAGAGGAAGCGTAATGGAGACGCTAAACCGAAAACTATTGTCATAGCTTTTGATACCTGTCTTTTTGTGTATTCTACCTTCAGCTAAGCTCAAATGTTTGTTCTCGCTTTTTCGCTTCTATTGGTTATCTACGAAGAAATTTCACGAATTTCTAGCTCCAAGATTTTTCGATAGACGAATTCAATATTCCTTCAGCTAAACGATAAATAATTTGATTTTATTACTTTGTAAGCTTTGCGTAAACAAATCGGAAAGCATGGAAGCATTTTTGTCTTAGCTTTCTGTGGCATATTGCCAAACCTGATTGATATTTTAATAAAGTAACGAAAAACAAAAAAATATGATACTTTCAGTAATGATATTTTGTAGATTAAAGCTTATGGTGAAAAAAGAAGTTTTTCGCTTCACGAGGCAAGTGATTCAAAGTTGTTTGGTTTTCGACAACGATAATCAAATGCTTGAAACAATACAGTTCAGTCGACATTGATTAACGTTTGTTATTCAGCAAAAGCTTTTTAAAATGCAAATAACGTGAGACAATAGACCCTTGTAAGAAACCAAACATAGTCTGTCGTTCGTCTTGTAGCACATATTTCACTCATTTGAAGTTAAAGTTCTGTTAACCGTCCCCCACCCACGCAATTTGAGGGTAAAGCTTGTGATTGAGGTCAAAAAATGCCTAATTTGTTAGCTTTCCGGGTTGAAAAGACATGAGTGCTGAACACGTGGTAGCAGTTAGTGCTGATGATGAATGCATTGACCTCGGCCTATGGATTGACAAATTATTATTATTTTCATAAAATTGAATCTAACGCAAAACACAAAGTCATTACACTATTTCCACGTGCGGCTTTGAGAGCAAAATATTTCTGGAAGCAAACAATTGCAGTAGTGTTTTAGCTAGGATTCCAAAGGTATAGTTTCTTTAAAAATAATTGTTGTTTTGAAATATCCCCAACTTTATTTCTGTATTTTTCTTTTCAGGATTGAGCCCACAAGCAAGAAATCATCTCCAGCGGTGTCATAAAGAGATAGTTCAAAGGAAATTTTGTTGTAAACAAGTAAATTACTCACTGATCAGGATGGCGCTGTTGACACGAATAGTCTCCTTGCTTCTAATGCTACAGAATGCATTCTACATAACTTGTTCGGCCAACGGTTTATCAGGGAAAAATAGATGTCCTCAGGAGTGTTCATGCGATGGCTCAAGCCTCATCACAATTTATTGTGGATTTTATGCGGATGAAAGCTTTCAGCTTCTACGCCATGTTCCAAAGAAAATCCCAACTGGATCAGTCTTCTTGTCCCTTTATAATAACATTATCACAAACATTTCTCAAGAAAACTTCAGGAATTTGACTTCTTTGAAAAATCTGAATCTCAGATCGAACCGGCTGACAGCGTTACCAGAGAGAGCATTTCGTGACCTAGCAAAACTAAAGTCTCTAAATTTAGGCGCCAATAAGTTATCAATACTTCCCGACAACGCTTTCGAGGGCTTGGAATCCTTGGAAGAGCTATTCTTGGATTCCAATAATCTTCGTGTGATTCCCGAGACGTTATTCAGGGGCTTGACTTCGCTTCGTCGTTTGTACCTTCACAAAAACAAGTTGAGTGTGTTCCCACAGAAAGCACTTCAGGGTGTAATTAATTTGAAAGGCTTTTGGTTGAATAATAATTTGTTGACCCGTATCGAAAAGGGCACGCTTAGAAACCTCACGGGCTTAGCGATACTCTATCTGAGTAACAATATACTGAGTTCATTGGATAATGATGTCTTTCACGGGATCTCTGCTCTTAAGTTGCTTTCAGTTAGTCATAATAATCTAAGTACTTTACCACAAGGGATATTTGATGTTCTGCCACAAGACTCAAAAGTATCTTTAGACAATAACCCCTTTGTTTGTGACTGTAAGCTTCATTGGATCAAAACATGGATCACGTCCAGGAGACTTATTTATTATCGCAATGAAATTCGTTGTCGAGCGCCAGCGGAATTGGCAGGGCGTTCAATAACAACTGTCCGAAATGACCAGTTCACTTGCAGTGCAGGTGAATGGAGTTCTTGGAGCAAATGGTCTCCGTGTTCAAAAACATGTGGAAATGGTACAAGATATTCTGTTAGAACTTGTGTGACAACCGTCGAGGGGAAAGGCAGGGCAGAGTGTCCTGGAAAAAATAAGAAATGGAAATCTTGCACTGATAAAGTCTGTGGAATAGATGGAGCGTGGACCCAATGGACTCCATGGTCTCAATGTTCTTGCTCAACTGGTAAAAGATTTAGAACTAGAAATTGCACAAATCCTGCTCCACAGTTTGGAGGTAACAACTGTACGGGAGATTACCATGAAAGTAAAGAATGTAATCTTGGAGATTGCAGTGTAAAGGAAAATTGGACAAGTTGGTCATTGTGGTCTGACTGTAGTTCTACATGTGCTTTTGGCAAAAGAACGAGAACGAGAACTTGTTTAGATAACATTGATTGCAAAGGTAACTCAACTGAGACATCTTTGTGCTATTCAGGATCATGTCCAATTAATGGGAATTGGAATGAATGGAGTAACTGGACAAGTTGTAGTGTTAGTTGTTCAAAAGGGACTAGAAGTCGAGTCAGGTCTTGTTCTAACCCTAGTCCAAAATATGGTGGGTCTGGATGTAAAGGCAACTCTAGTGAATCTAGTATATGTATTGCTCGACCGTGCCCGGTACACGGAGGGTGGTCGGTATGGTCGAATTGGACAGTCTGTAGCAAAACTTGTTCGTATGGACATAAATATAGGAAAAGAATTTGTACAAACCCTACGCCTAAGTATGGTGGTCGTAACTGTTCGGGAGCGACGTTAGAAAAAGTCGTATGTGGCAATAAGTCTTGTGAAGTGCGACGCGTGTGGAGTCAGTGGTCTAACTGGACTTCATGTAGTAAATCATGTGGCAATGGAACACAAATGCGAACTCGATTTTGTTTGGGCGAGCAAAATAAAACGTTGTCAAATCAAAAGTGTGAGGGCCAACATGAAAGTGTTCGACCATGTTTCTTGTTTCCATGCCCTCTAGACGGTGGTTGGTCAAGCTGGTCTTCATGGTCGACTTGTATCGATCCTTGTACAAATGGGACAAGAAGAAGAAACAGAAGTTGCAGCAACCCGACCCCGAAGGACGGAGGTAAGAACTGTTCTGGTCTTGCGCAAGAAACACAGTCTTGTTTTGTGGAAGACATCTGTGTAGGTATCTGGTCTGGGTGGAGTGACTGGAGCAAATGCAGTACTTCTTGCTCTAAAGGATTCAGAAATCGCTCAAGAAACTGTATGAGTAAACACACGTCTAAGAATTTCCTTTGCGTGGGTAATTCTACAGATATAGAAGAGTGCGACGCAGGTGACTGCGCACTCCAGGAAGCGTGGTCAGATTGGAGCGTCTGGACATCATGTAGCGCATCATGTTCAAATGGTACAAAATCCAGGAACAGAACTTGTACATCAGTGGAAAATAATTGTCCAGGTCAAAGAAATGAGACTATTTCTTGTTTTGTTACAAACTGTACTTTTGATGTACAAAGGAGTGTTTGGTCGAAATGGTCTGAATGCATAGGAGCGTGTGGATTTGGTAAAAGAACAAGAACGAGAAACTGTACACAGGGTGCTGTGATAGTGAACAGTGCTCTTTGTACCGGAAATGCGACACATGTTGTACCTTGTAATGTGATGCCGTGCCCTGTCGATGTTGAGTATAATCTATGGTCGCCTTGGTCGACGTGTTCAGTTTCATGCGGCTTAGGAAAGCAAGTAAGATTCAGGAACTGCAGTCAAAACACTCGCACGCGTGGTAATGAAATGTGCAAAGAACCTGAACAAGAGGCAAGAGTTTGTTACACGCGCGCCTGCGCGAAGCCAATTGGGTGGTCAGCGTGGTCTAACTGGACAGCATGCTCAGTAACATGTGGAAATGGTATTCAATTAAGATCACGTATATGTCATGATCCCACCAAAAGAAACGTTTGCAGGGGTCAGAATTTAATGGTAAAGAACTGCAAAGCTTCAGATTGCGATCACTTACGCTTTCGTCAAGTGAGCTGGTTGCCATGGACACAGTGGAGCACGTGCTCAGCGTCTTGCGGACGAGGCCATCAGATGAGATGGAGATTCTGTTACTCTCCGAACGACAAAACTAACGCCTCTAAATGTTCTCCTAAAGTCCCATTCGAGGTTCATTCTCGAATCTGTCACGCAACTCCCTGTAACTATAGTTCCGTCTGGACCACGTGGACCAAATGGAAAGGCTGCAACAGGGGTTGTGGTATTGGTATGAGAAAAAGAGTTCGATACTGTCTAAGCCAAGCTGTTGGCATCAAGTGTAAAGGAAAAGCGGTGGAAATATCGCCGTGTAATTCTTCGATATGTTCCACACCTATCCCTCTGACGTATCCTCCCTTCATCACGCTAGGCTCTCCCATACCTTGTCCAGACCCTGGTACACCTATAAATGGCGAACGTAAATTCATAGACCAGATCCAATTCGGCTCTTACTTCGTATCTTACAGCTGCAACAAGCACTTTTACCTCGAAGGCCCGAAACTCCGACATTGCGAAAGAAACAACAAGTGGTCTGACAGCTTACCAAAGTGTATTCCGCTCTGCGGTAAGTCTTCTAATACTGTAGCTCACAAAAGGTTGAGAATTGTTGGAGGGGGTGCTACACTGCCTGGGGCTTGGCCATGGCAGGTTGCGTTGGAATTCGATACCTTTCAGCCCGGGTTTAATACCTTTCATTGTGGAGGGACACTGGTTGCTGAGCAATGGCTAGTAACTGCAGCCCACTGTGTTGTGTATAAAGACAGCCATATTCCATATCATGGAGTAAGAGTCTACTTAGGTGTTCATGACATCACAAAAAGACACTGGGATTCCAACGTGCAAATAATCCCGAGCGCAGAAATCATTGCTCATCCAAAATTCAACTGGAGGACTTACGACTCAGATATTGCTTTAGTCAGGCTGCGTTGGAGAGTTAACATCACTGAATATGTTCGTCCGGCTTGTCTTCCTAATGGCTACCAAAGACGTCTTATTAGAACACCAGGCACCAAAGGTGTCATGCTTGGCTGGGGAGTAACAGAAACCAAAAAACCAGCTACAAAGTTAAGAGAGGCGTATATTCCAGTGGTAGACCATAAATCCTGTAAGAAATCCTACGAAAATGAAACCTGGCCCGTCACCTCGAATATGCTTTGCGCTGGGCTTAAAGTCCAGTCCAAGGACTCGTGTAACCGAGACAGCGGAGGGGGATTTATATTCTTCGATAAAAGAACCAGAAAAATGAAGTGGTTTATCGGAGGTGTTATAAGTTGGGGCAACCCAAAATGTGGCGTTCCGGGAAAGTATAGTGTATTTACGAGAATAACTCATGCATATGTTAAATGGATTAAGAACCAAATGAAAAAAAATAGCTACAATGACACTTGATGATTTTTAGATTTAGGGGAAATAAGCCTTTTCATAGTTTAAGAATCTATTCCACTGCGCATGCGATTTTATCCCGAATTTCTCACCTTCTTTTGTTTGATTAAGAACAAAAGAAGGTTTAGACAAAAGAAAGTAGAAATTCGGGATAAAATCGCATGCGCAGTGGAATCGATTCTTAAACTATGAAAAGGCTTATTAGATTATAACATTCTAAACCACAGGAAGCCCAGCCAACAAGTAATAAAAACTAGACAGGACATAACTCGGGTAGGTTGGAGGGGAGGGGGAGGTTGAAAACGGGATAAGAAAATTAGCTTTCTCCTACATTTCAAAGTCTGATTTTGAATGATTCTCCAAATCGTAATAAGGCTTCCTGTGGTTTTAGACCCAAGAATATTAAGTCAATCTAACAAATTAGTTATAATTTATAAGTTAATAATGTTAAAGCTTTACTTCTGTAAAATTTATCTTTATATTATTTATTTATACCTTAAATTTTCCATATCCATAAGTACGAACGACCAGATTATTTTTGTTATATTATACTTAACGTTTATGCAAAATATATAAAATCTTATTCATGGGATTAGTCATTGTTCAATTTTTTATTATTGCCCAGCGGAAATACATCAAACTCATGCGCATGCGCATTAGAGTTCACGGTTTGGTGGGAGACCATTGTTGGGGGAAGTGATGATGTAGGAAGCGCAATGCCTTCCCCCCTCCCCCTCACTCCTGTTTGAAGTCTTAGATCCGGGGGGGGGAGGGGGGGGAGCTAAGTAAATTAGGTGTAATCCTGAAGCGAGATGACGTTTTACCCCCGTCTCTAGACCATAATCCTTTTCACATTGCTTTTGTTCTTTAATTATGACTATTGTACCTGTATTCTCTAAGGAATCAAAAATTTTAATATGAAAGAATTTAAATAAACCATTATGGTATAGAGTCGGGGGTAAAACGTCATCTCGCTTCAGGCTTATTGGAAGACAGATTCTGAGGCTTTTGGGCCAGACAGAGAAGGTGGAATATACTGCAATGCGGACAATGATGGACAATAAAGGATATTGATTCTAAATATAACTGCTTATCTGAGAACGAGCTTGCCTTCAAATGCTTTCCAGATGGATACTAGCGTCGTGGTAATGATCATCGATTCAGGATGCAAAACTAATCAATTTCGGTTTATAGAATGAAAAAAATATTACTCATCGTGGAAATAGTAATAAATGAAACTTATATATTTGTCTAACGATTGCGGGTCATTTGACGAGAAGGACACAGCGGACTTTAATTTTAGGTTTAGTGAATTTGAACCCGAATAAAACAAGAAACAACTTCTACATTCAAGTTGATCTAGCGCTTTAGCTTTGATTGTTTTCCTAATTTCACTTCACTCCTCTCTTCTCCTTTCCTTCTTTTCTCCTTTCTCAATTCCATTCTCTTCATTTCAGTTCGTCCTTACAATCTCCTTTCCCTTTTCTTCTCTTTTTTAAATTCCCCTCTATTTTTTTCTTTTCGATTTTCTCTTCTCTTCTCTTCTCTTCT